TTTTTTTTGAGAGAGAGAAAAAAGCGGGTTCTTAAGATCGTCCTTTACAATACGCCAGGCACTCGACTCCCATTTGGCATCCATTGTATTTGGAAGGGAGATGACAGCATGCATAGACAGAAAAATGCCGGTTTGTTGTCAGACGAATTTTCGGGTTTCTATTAATCTTCAATAAAACATTAAGAGCATGAAAACGGCCAGCATTGACCAAACCTCTGGAATACGCCATGGCATTGACATCCATTCAGGAATAGTTGTAAATGGGTCGCAGATCTGATTGACTTGTATCAGTATGAATCACAGTAGTACAGCTCCTTTAGCCCCCTGACTGCTAGAGTCCGTCCTTTATTCAGAAAAATTAATCAGGGTTTTCAGGAATGCAATACTGTATTGAAAAAGTTCAAGTGAAACGCCTAAATCATTCAATGTTTCTCAGGTAAACAACGCTGGCGGTTCCAACAGTGGGGACTGGAAAAAGCCAGAAATTGAGGGTGATATGAGCAATTTCGAGTACACCCTCAACCTAAATACCAAAAGGTATGCGGGAGAGCTCGTTAAATCACGGACAAACCGAAAATTTACTATATTAAGCATCTTGCGGCTGTGTCAGCTTGCCTACCCGCATTTGATCGAAAGTAAGGGCGATATCGTGAATGTGAGCAGTATAGCCGGTCAGCCAAATGGTTCAGTAAGTATTGCCTTGAACACAATTCATGATGTTATTTATAAAAAAGCGCAAAACAGTGATTATTTCCATTCCGATTTTCAGTCACTATCGTCTCCATACTACAGTATTTCGAAAGCGGCACAGGATCAGCTGACACGCAATCTTGCCATCTGCTATATCCAGAAGGGTGTTAGAGTGAATGGTGTTAGGTAAGTCCAACGGAAAATATGTTGGATAAATTCAAAATGGACAGGAAGCCACGAGCCAAATTCATGTATCACATTTTGTCCTCCACAATTTGGAATGAAGTATTCGAAATGTAATTTTGAAAAATGAAATTCTTGAGGACTACCTGAACAGGGTTCGGAGGCCTCAAGCGCCTCCTGTAAGGTTTTGCTCTATATATGGGCTCTTCAAA